TAATATTGGTAATTATTGAGGCTCCTATATTACAGCCCTATGAAAGCCAACCCGCACCTCGTCCTCCATGTCATCCACGTCAATAAAAGTGAAGCGGTAGATGAGGGCTTTGCTCATGGCGGCAAGGATGAGGCGAGCTCTTGCTCAAGGGTTGAATCAGTAAAATCTGACTGCGGACCGGCAGAAGATAAGCCTAATCGGTTGAGGGTTTAGGGGTTTAGGGTTTAGTGGTTTAGGGGTTTAAGGGTTTAGGCTTTAGGGCTTCGGGAAATCCTGGAGGCCGTAGTAGCTAGAGTAGGGTGTAGGGATCCAAAATCATCCATCCATATGGGTAGTTCTCTAAATTCGGGTCCCTTTTTAGGTCCCCGATATAGTACGGCACCTTTATAAAAAAGGACCCCACAAGGGACCCTAATTTAGAAAACTACCCATGTGGGAAGCGTAAGGCTAAACCCCGCGCCTCAATCCCAAGATCACGGAAGCCCGTGAGCCCTAAGCCCTAAAAAGCCGGGAAGCCCCTAAGCCCTACCCATAGGCCCCATAGTAGTTCCTTTTTGGGGTTCATATTTAGAATCCTATAAGGTAATCCCAAAAATGAACTACTATGGGGCCTATGGGTAAACCCTAAGCCCTAAAGCCCTAAAGCCCCTAAGCCCTAAAGCTGAATCCCTTAAGAAAAACCCAGGCGCTGCAGAACTGAATTACAAAGCCTCAGCGCTTGAGTTCAGCGCTATTAGGAATTACCCAGAACACTGCCCTCATGTAGCGGCCTTAATACCTCTTTGTAGTATGATTTTAATCAGGAGCCCTAACAGTAATATTGTAATTCTTGAAAGCTAGTTCATTATCCTAGTAGAACTCCCCTAAATCCTACACCCTAAGATTGACTTCTGGATAAGGTGTTTAAGGTTCTAAGAAGGAAGTCATCGAGTCATGGGGACCCAACTGTAACAAGTAGGCTCCAGCTTGGGTAGTTCAAGGTACAAACTCCTGGCCTAGGGTTGGGTTTAGGGGTTTAGGGTTAAGGGTTCAGGGAGCTCAAAAACATATGGGTGGTTGTCAAAATCATGGCCCCTTTTTGGGTCCTTATTATAATACGGCACCTATTATTTAGGGTACCCCAAAAGGGACCATAATTTTGACAACTACCCATATAACACCGTGAAAACGGCACCCTGGACCCCGAACCCCTGCCAGGAAGCAAGAGCGGTGTGTAGCAGGACGATTCCTTTGGGGCTTGGGGTTTGGGGATGAGGATTCCCTAAACCCTACACCCCTAAACCCTAAACCCTCAAAACCCCCAAACTCCTAAACCCTCAAAGCCCTTGAACCCCTACAACCCTAAACCCTTTTAGGGTACCGGTGAACTCAAGTTCTGGGGTTGCAGCTCGGGGAGCGGGAATAGAACATCCTACAGAAAATCCAAATCCTCAAACCTACATAACTATTTATGGTTTAGGGTTTAGGGTTCAGGGTTTAGGGTTCAGGGTTTAGGGTTCAGGGTTCAGGCTTTAGGGTTTAGGGCTTAGGGAACTTTTTGTCTCCATCAGTAAAGGTCCCTTTTAAGAGAGCCATACGTATCCACACGAAGGCAGCTCGCCACTTTCCCCTCAAGAGTCCAAGTACCTACCAATCGTAATCGGGTTTAGGGTGTAGTTTGTTGGGATCTTAGGGTTTGGTAGGGGCTTAATGTAGGGGCCTTGGTCAGCACTAGAATAAGGTTTTGGGCTACATTGTACTATACTGATGACAAGGACCCCCCCCCCCCCAGATAGTATAGGTAAGTATTAAGACCCCTATATTCACTAGCTACTTTCCTAAACCCGAGAACCCAATGATTGGGTCCTTTGGACCCCTGGGGATATTTAGAGTCTAGGCTTTAGGGTTTAGGGTTTAGGGTTTAGGGTTTAGGGTTTACCAAGAATTATCTCATAGTTGGTAGCTTCATTCGGGACCCGAACATCGACTACTCGGGAGCATCCCCAAACAGGGAAATTACGTTCTCAACTGTTTAAGCTTCTATATTAGCTTCAGGGTTGCGCCGAACCATGAGGGCGTCAGGAGGTTTTTTTGACAACCTAAACTATAAACCCTAAACCCTAAATTGACTAAACCCTGAAACCCTGAACCCTAAACCCAAGGCAGCGACACACTTCAACCAGTTACGAAGCTCTTGAAACCCTCGCTCCAAGAAACTTCTGGTGGTTCAGGGCTTATGCTTTGGGATTTAAACAAGATTCCTATAAGGGTGTAAGGAGCATTGTCTAGAGTAGGTTTTACAGAAGCTTGTCCGGGGTTAGGGTTGTAGGGCTTAGGGTTCACAAAAAAGCTGGCGCATGTCTGCAGGTTACGTCGGGGCCTGCAGAGAACCAGGCTTGCTTTTATGCTTACTGTACGGCTGCGCGTAAAGCTTTACAGACTTTATCGGAGGGGGGTCATCCGAGGGTCGTCTTCAAATGCAAAACACCGATTCCAAAAACCTGAACCCTTACGCACCAAAGTCGGAATCTCTTCAACTGGCCGTATAGCCTAAACCCGGGAAACCCATTCAATCCAAGAGGGTCCACATACGCTACTATTCTGGAATCGGGTCCCCAAAACCATAAGAAGGAGGGTCTTTCGGGACCTCATTCCCAAAAAATGGTAGCGTAGATGGACCCTCTGGGAATCTCTTCCCTGTTAGGGTTTAGGGTTTAGGGTTTAGGGTTTAGGGTTTAGGGCTTATAGGGTTTAGGGTTTAGGGTTTAGGGTCTAGGGTTTAGGGCAAGGCACATCGTAGATGGCTTCCAAGTCGAGAGGTGGCGGCTCCACAAACTTCTGGTCCAACTTCAGCGCCTCGGAAGGGGTTTAGGGTTTTTCCTTTTTTTTGTTTAGGGTTTGGTGTTTTGTTAGGGTTTATGTAGGGGTTTAGGGTTTTTCTTTTTTTGGGGTTTAGGGTTTAG